TAACTCCTTTCATGCATTGGAACAAACCATTATGGTGAAGCATAGTGAAATGCATTTAGATTGCATTGCTTCAATAAAATGTTCTAGACATCTAGTGTACAAGACATAAGAGGGTCCATAGTTATTTTCTAACAGGAGTATTACTGTTACTCTCTGCTATTTTGCTGTTTACTTATAATCATTTTTATTATCTATTCATTTGGCTGAAATATATATCCAAGGCATATGTTTAATTAATCATTACTAAATATGTTTATTTTTTTTAAATGTGACTGAAAATATCACTCTCTTGTTATGGTAGAAGGTTTTTATTTATTTTCTTATTGAACTGTTAGTGTTACTCTGTTCTGTTTTGCTATTTATTGATTATTAGGTTTCTTTAATTAATCAAGAAATTTGTGTATAAAAGACTATGACTGTTAACCCTTTAGCCATGTACTTTTATTTTAGTATGTACCCCTAAAACCATTTGAAATAGCCAAAAAGACACATATGGAAACAGTTTTTTTGTTACAACTTGAATATTCAAATTATACAAATAACTTGACCTAACTTGCATATCTGATGATTTCACACTTCCAATATGGCCACCACATTTGAAAGATTTGTAGTTTATTCTTTTTTATTCTAATTTGACCATTCAAGAACATATCCACTTTTTGACACAGACAATACAAAAGCCTTGAATCCCCATTTATCCAGTTTTTTAAGATTGTACTGTTTCAAAACACTTCACCCTTTGAATACAATTGCCATTTCATCCATTGCCAATTCCTTTTTGTGAACCAGACGGTTATGTGAATTTAGAAATTATCGTGTCAATCAGTGGATTCACTTTGAATAATATGTCATAACAAAAAGCACCTCTGGCAACTTGATCATTATTGATTGCAAAGTTCATGAAGCTCAAGATCAATTCAGATCTATCCCTAGTAAGGACATGGCAGAAACCAGGAGTACCTTGGGTTTATTGACTAAGCCTATTGCAAGGTCCAAAGCAAAGAATGCTTTCATCTCATGATGGTTCGCAAATTATTCTTGGATGCTGCTGCATTAAATCACACTTTAACATATATAAACTGTTATGCTGATCAGTTTTTACACAGAAAAGGTGATTTCAAACCACATTCATGATTTCATAAATAGGTACCGCAAAAAATTGATAAATTCTGCATCATTTAGACACTGATTGCCCCCATATACTATATTTCTATCATCAAAGTTGGAAATCCAAGGTTGAAAATGTTTGTCACCCACCACCAGTCTTCACACATCATTATTTGCTGAACCAAGTACATGCCTAGCTTGATTGTCATGAATAAGTCAATCACATGCATGTTGTTTTGCCCTACTCAGGCCTAGCTCTTGGTGGATGTGTATGTATAGTTGTACATTCACCTGTACTAGTAATAGTAATAGGTATATTGTTATTACGTCCTGAACCATGTTCATGAGATATCCATTGAATTCTAACTTGAAATTTGGCTTTTTTTGAAATGGAAACCTCATAATCACAGTCGGTGTCAACGTCATCACTTGTTCCAACAGGCCCAACTTCAGCATTACTACTACTATAACTATATACATCGGTATCAGTCATATCATGCTCAAAATCATTGTCAGATAATTCAGGTTCAGAGCCAGAATCATCATCAGTTCAATTACCTCTTCAAGTGTGAAAACACTGGAGTGATTTATTACTATTTAAGGTCCATTTTCTCATAAAAATTAAACAATTTTCCACTGCAAATATTACCAATCATTTTTAATAACAACATACACCATGTTGGATATGAATCAACAGCCAAGATCATCATCTGTGCTGATAAGGCTTTGTTTATTGATACTGTGCACTTGATTTGCATTTGTAGCTGGAAATTTAAATGCTATTTTGTGGTTGCCATACAGCAATTGGCATGCATAAAGGGTTAACCATTTGAAATGGTGACTGTTAAATAAAGATTAATCTTTCTTGGCCCTTTTCTATCCAGTGTCTTAGATTTTTACAGTGACAAAATGATAATATGACGTTTCAAAAACTTGTGATATATCCCTCAAATTACCTACGAAAAAGAAAGGAAAGTTTTATTAACATTTGTTTAGGATGAAGTAATTTTAACGAACAAAACTGCTAACCCTAATTTTCGACTTTTGCCCCTTGTAATTATTATTTCGATGGTGGAAATCATTCAGTTTCCTGCCTGTACAAAAATACAGCTTGTCAGTGAATGAATCTAAGCTGCAAATCTGGTAATTTTGCATTTCTTTGAGGCTTATTTAATTCATATAGTTTGAAAACAGTAAATTTTTGAAGTTGATGATATCAAGAACTCTAAAATTTAACTATCCATGTGGTTTGTTTCATAATTTTCAAGTTTCTGAGGCTGACAAAATTGTAAATTTTATAATTACACTAGATTGGAGGGATTTAAAATTTCTTATTACATTTTGAGTCACCTCAAAACTAAGTGGTACTTTTGTCATACAAGTTAGTAATGATATTCTATTATTTGTATACCATAGAAAGGTAAAAAAGTAACTTAATGAATTTCCCATCATGTTTGTTTATTTTACTGAAGTAATTATCTTGGCAATTAATTTTATATTTTACAAGAAATCATGAGTTTTATTACTCAAGGCCATTGTGAAGGCAAATATTGTATTTCAACCTTGGATAAAGCTAAATATTGTGAAGTCAGTGTTGAACACATCTGCATAAATCAGTAAAGGAGGACATAGATACGTTTTATTTTTTAAATAAAGTGAGATAAATACAATCGGTTTATATAAGTTTTTATTGTTGTAGACAATTTTTATTGCAAAATTTCTTTCAGCAAATTGGCATAGTACATGATGTTATTAGACCTACTGTAGTTTATGTACAAAAACTGACTTTAAGGTTAACAGTTATGTGGATTTTGCATAATGGTGAAGTAAATAACTACAAAGCCTGGTCACAAGTAAATAGACACCACCTTTTCAGAAAAAATTAAATTTTTCAGTCATATTCACATGAATTGATATATTTATAATTTAATTAATATCTAGTAGATCTTCCTTTCACTTCGTGGAGTTCGTTGATCCTTTGGGTCATCGTGAAAATCATCTCATCAATTTTAGATTGTGGGATTTTTGCCCACTCTTGCTTCAAAACTTGGAGTAGATTGCTCTTTGAAGTTGGTTTTTTTTTGGTTGTTTCTTGACTTGCCGGTCGAGTATGGCCCAGAGGTTTTCGATGGGGTTAATGTCAGGAGATTGGCTCGAT